AGTACATCAAAACAGGAGTCCCTGATGTCAGCCTGTCTTCCAAATTCAGCCTCGCTTCTGTTTTCATCAACAAAGTTTAATCGAATACAGACATGCCATCATTAATGTATTGACTTGTACACTGAGAAATAAGGCTTAACTATGTCAATCAGTGGATTCTTCAAAGACCTCAAAGTGTTTGGAGTGGCAAGATTGACAGTGATTCATAACTGTTGAAATATCAAAACCACTTGAGCAAGAACCTCAGAGCATACCCTACATCCGGGACCTGAGGAGGGTGGGAAATTGGGTGGGCCTTCTCTCTTAATACCCCCTTTAAACATGAAGGAAACAATATGAAAAAAATACTAGTCTTACCCACTTTCCTATAGCCCTTGAACCTTTTTACCCTAATTCACTATGTGAAGATTGTCAAAATATAATTTTAAAAATTAATTTAAAATAATTAAATAACAAAAAAAAGAGAAATAAGGCTTAAAATATTTACTATCCGGGGGCCCGACATGATAGCATAGCAGTTAAAATCCTTGCCTTGGATGCACCAGGATCCCATATGGGCACTGGTTCTGATCCCGGCAGCTCCACTTCCCATCCAGCTCCCTGCCTGTGGCCTGGGAAAGAAGTCGAGGATGGCCCAAAGCCTTGGAACCCTGCATCCATGTGGGAGAGCAGGAAGAAGTTCCTGGTTCCTGGCTTCGGCTTGGCTCAGTTCCAGCCGTTGTGGCCACTTGGGGAGTGAACTATCGGACAGAAAATCTTCTCCTCTGTCTTTCCTGCTCCCTCTATATCTGCCTTTCCAACAAAAAATAAATGTTTTTTAAAAAATCTTTACTATCTGTATCTTCTCTAAAAAGTTTGTTGTCCTTATTTTAAACTGTAAATTAGAGGCAGAAAGGGATGGAATTAGAAAGATGATCAAAGGTGCTGTTACTGTAGCACCATGGCTAAGTCTCCTGTGCTGCTAGCTACCCATATGGGAGCTGGTTCAAGTCCCAGCTGCTCCACTCCTGATAAAGCCCTCTGCTAATGTGCTAAAGTTGTGGAAAATGGCCCAAGAGTTGGGACCATGTGGGAAACCTGGAAGAGTTCCCTAGTTCCTGGCTCCTGGTTTTGGTCTGATCTTAGTTCTGGACATTGTGGGGAGTGAACTAGTGGATGAAAAATATATCTCTTCCCCCTCTCTCTGCCTTTCAAATAAATAAAATAAATATTTTTAAAAGATCATCAGAAATAAAAATTAAGAAATGGGGATATATTACATACTTCAAGATGCACACAAATCAAAGTTATATCTGACCTTGACTGTTAGTCCCATTTTGCTGAGGCTTCAGTTAAGCAACGAGCTGAACCCGTTAGCAACACACAGCAGCACTTGTGAGCTCTGAACCCAAGTCTGGCAGTCATCAGAATCCAAGAGTGTAACTGAGGTTGTATCGCTATTCTTGCTGATCTCATTGCCTGGAACAGCCATCCCTGCCCTTTTCACTTCATTTCCTAAGTGGATTTCCAGAAGGTGTCTACTCATCCTCCAAGCCCAACTAAAACACCACTTCTTCTTCACAGCTCTCCCTGACACTTCTTGTCAACAGGTAACTTTTTTAAAGCTTCCTCTATTTTAACTATCTACAACAGTATTTATGACAGGTCTTCATAAATGTTGTTGGAAATGTGCATTATATTTTCATTCCATTTTTTAGGAACCTTTTTAAGTAGCCCTGTTTATAACACAGTGTGATCAAAAGAATATATGCCTTTTGGAGGAGCCAAACTGACTGAAGCTCAAATGATGATTCTGCTATATATTTGCATTGTAACCTCAGACAAAATATAAACTTCAGAGACCCTCAAGATGCTTAATTTTAAAAACAGAACTGATCATTCTTAGCACCTCCATTCATTTAACCATCCAGTCATCCTTTTATTCCATCACCCAATACTTAAGGTATGCCTGCATATGCAGGGCACAGGGCATAGAACAATGAAAGTCGGAGGCGCCACCTCTGCCCTTGCCTGGTTGACAATCCAGTGACAGGACAAAGTTCCGAGGGGGGATAGTGTCATTAAATCCCAGGTGGCATGGAGGAAAGGTTACGGAGCAAGCACCATGATCCAACCCAGACTCACAGGTCAGGTAAGGATACTGCAGAGCAAACAGCAATTCAGCAGCAAGTGTCATAAAAATAAAACATAGCAAATCTTCAAGACACATACCACAAGTAATTTCAATTTAATAAAATACTTCCACCCTGCCCACGCCATAATTATATGTCCCTCATCTGAAACCTCCTCTAAGTGTCAGGGAGGGAAGGAGATTTCTATGCAGTGAGTGGGCAAAAGCTCGTGCAATGTGCTGGGCAACTGAAACCGCAGAGCCCCCAGGAGAGGCCAGATTAATGACATTTTTAAAAAGCCTTTCTATTTCTCAGCATTCTGTCCCAATCAAAAGGATTCCTGAACATTTATTCTTGTTTTCTGTGTTAAAACATTTAATGACAGAATAAGGAAATCATTTTTACATTTTTTCTGGGGGCTGAACTGCTGTAGAGTGAAAGAGCAATTGCAGCTTTCAAAAGAGATGCTAATTGTAGCTTTTAAAATATTAGGCTCCCTCTAAATACCCGTCATATCCTCCTCCCCTAAGAGTTTCTAGGTCTTTCTTAAAGGTGCGAGCAGAATATTGCCAGGCATGCTTCATTTTCCTACCTAAACGTCTACAGTTACGTTTGTTGAACAGTCTACTTCCATTTCTTCAAGTTTTTAAAGCTCTCCTCTTCAGAAGGACCACAGAGATGGACAATCTTACTGGGACAACAATGCACAACTATTAGAAAATCTGCATTGGATCATCAACAAAAACGATGCACAGCCTCCAATTAGATCCCCTAGGAAGTGGGAATTTCCTGCTTCGCTTAGATTTCCCACCCACCCTCCCTCTTGCAGGAGATTTTCTGAGCAAAGAAGCAAGAGGGAGGCTTTCCTGCGAGAGACCGGATGCTTCTTACTTCTTTTCAGGCTGAGAGGAAAGACAACGTAGTCAGGCTGGCAATTCTATTTATAAATGCTTTTCTTTACAACAAGATGGCAAATTCCAGGGGGGGGGGAAGTGGTGGGGAACAGCAGTTGCCCACACAGACTATTATTTTAAACTCCATTATTGGAAAAATCCCTCTATTGCAGCCAGAAGAGGGATGAGAAGGAGAGGAGGTGAAAACTAACAAAATATGGAACTAGAACAAACTTGAGTTATATAAACATCATGAGGCGGTAACGGACCATCTGAAGCCTCTTGCTTGCACCAGAAAAATTGAGAACCAGAAGAGGTAAAATGGTATTCTTGCTAAGTTACCAATGCTCTGGCACACACTTATAAACATGTGTGACAGAAAACCTTTACTGATAAAATCTACAAGACATTTATGCATTTATCTATAATGAGTTTTCTGAAAATAGTAAGTATCTATACAGTGGTCTTAAAAAGAGGCCGATCCTCAATTCACTTTCAAAAATATTAGCTGAATCCCTGCAGTGAGGTATGTGGCTTATAAACAGTGATGAAAACTCAAACACGTTTATTTCACTTCTAATCCTCAGTTACATGGATCTAAATTTTCATGATAAACAGGTAGACAGTTTACACAATGTGTAGCATCCCATCAAGGGGATGACAGCCGCCTGGAGCCCTAACGCACCAAAGAATCTACAATGATGCTGAAAAGAATCTGTGGGACTAAAACAAGATGGGAACAATTACACGTGCCCGACTCCTCTAAGGGAAGTGCTGCATGTGAACAGAAGTGTAGGCGGCATCCAAGCATCAGGTTGAGGTGGGGGCTGGGGTTGGGAATGTGTCCAATGCACCCCGATGTGAAGAAACACATACATGAGCACACAGCGCATGCTCAGGTGAGGAAGCACCTTCATGGCTTCTAAACTGGCAGGTAAGGGAAGTGGGTTCCAGGAAGGATTACCCACGGGGCACTGTTTCGTTGAGTGGATGAAGAGCAGCACTGGCCACCAAGCAGTGTTTTTGGCTCCTTGGAAAATGACAATGGGGAGATGAAAAGGGGCCCAAGGGCAGCCTTCTCAGGAGCCCTCAGTGTCAACTGATTCCTCAACAGGTGGACTACATTTCTCCCCTCCCACTCCCTGCCGCCATTTTGAGTGTGTGTGTGTGTATGCATGCTCCTTTTTCTTCTGAAATCAAGAGTCACATTCCTATAAATCTTAATAGTCCCTGAGGCAATGAAAGAGCAATTCTTAGCAAGGAGTTAACCTACATCTTTTGCCCTGGCCAGGATCACTCATTGGTGAAACATATCTAGAGATCTCATCTGTCTCCAGCACAGGGATGGCTGGATTTCCAACACCTCCTCAGTATTCTGCCTACTCCTCCCCCTGTAGCCCAGATAGCTGCCTCTAAGCCATTCCATTCCATTTGCCACCTGAGGCAGAGTCAGTTCCCTGCAGCAAGTGAATTATTCAGGGCCCAACACTTGCTTCTGGGAAGATACTGTTCTCTTAGCATCTGCCAAGTGTCAAGACACCAAAAATCCATTCCTTGATACAGGATATGGAAAAACCCTCATCCCTAATACCAATATAACCAAAGCAAATGTGTCCTAGCCAAAACCAACCAGCACCTAGCTTTCTACCAGATGTTCAAGCTGATTTGAAACTTAACTGAAAAGTTAAATCAACAGAGTCCATGCTGAAGGGAATGAAAGCTGCTTCCCTCCCAAGAAAAACCACTCAAAAAGGAGTGGAGCAAGGAGGGAGGGATAGAAGCAAGGAAGAAACCCCAGCTGAAACTTGGCATTTACTTGACGAGGAGCCAGCAGAATGTAGTTCATGGACAGTTTGACAGCCCAGAGGGAGGACACCAATCAGAAGGCTTCCTTGGCACTATTAAACTTCTTTGGTGGCAGCCTCAGCTGGGAAGGTAAGGCACAGAAGTTGCGTTCAGGATTCTGAGGATCAAGAGATGGTGTCTGCGAACTTACGGGGATGGAACGGCTCAGGAATCTCGCTGAAGATGAAGAAAGGCCAGGGTAGGAGGGTCGGAAGACGGTGGTGGGCTCTTCGGCCTTGGTGCTGAGGGGGCCCGGGGGGCTGTTCAGATTGCCCCCGCTGCTGCTGTTGCTTCTGTTGTACTGGTTGTTGTTGAGCTCTGGGTAATTTCTGGTGGCCGGCTGGGAGCTGCCATTCAAGAGGTTGGTGAACGGGCTGGCTGTGAAACCTGCCTTAGAGGATGAGCAGGTCTTTTTGTTTTCTGGATCATCTGCTGCAGCATTCAAGTTCCCTAAGGAGCTGGCTAGCCGGGAGTTTATGGAAAAGCTGGATGGAAGACACGACACGGGGGAGGGGAGAAAACACAGACAACAGTATAGGAGTCTATTCACACACAGCTTGTGCTCCCAAGACGCGTATGCATGACACTTAGGGACTGTGATGAAGACAACTCTGGCCGATGCACACGGGGACAGAATGGCTGCTCAATCACCCTGGGTAGTATTATAGGTGTCCTTTAGTTACATGTGGCAGGTTCCTTAGTCAAAAGGTTCCTACAGGCTGGCTACAACACTGGTGATGGGGAACTAGAAAATCTAGTAGGTTGTATTCACCCTGAAGCAGCAAAGTGTATGAAAATAACTTTATAAGGAGTGTCTAAGACAGACATAAATACAAAAGTTAAATTGGTCATGTTCAGTTTCACTACATTAAAAATCTCCATCCATTGTACTTAGCTCTCATCTACATCAAGTAAGAAATGCTTACACTACTTATCAATCCTATGAGCAACTGAACTCCTATTTCTGGGTCTCCTAAGTCTGCCAGAATGTCTTGCAACAGCCCTTCCACAGCCTGGTTCCTGCAATACGAGACAGAAACAGAGCCTCACCAAGACCAACTTTTTTGTGCGGTTTCTCTCTTTTTCCTTTGTCCCCTCTCTTGTCTGACAAAACCACAGCCAAAATCATTGCTTGCTACGTACTTTTTTTTTCTAACATCTAGTCAGTACCTTGAGAGAGGGAGAAAAAAATTACCTTCTGCCATTGGCGCCTGAGGACAAAGTACCTCTGTTTATCCTCTTGGCTGTCGCTGAAGGGGACAAAGCCACTTTTGAGGTCTTCAGAGTACTTGCAGATCCTTGCGGGGAAGAGCTTAATCTTTGAGGAGAAAAAAAAAATGGACAACATGTCACACTCAAGCTGCATTAGTTTAAACACTCAGCAACCTGCTAGGACACGATGGAGTATTAAACCTTAAAGACAGCAAGACAGACCCTAATCATGGTGACAGCCTCAGCCGCCAATGCTGACAGGTTCCAGGACACAGTTCATGCCCGCAGCTGCCAAAGGAGGGAGCTGACGCAGAAGCATGAAGAGAAAAGTAACCCATTCAAAACGACTCACTTAGCAGAGCAGGAATCTAAATTCAGGGCTCAAGTCCTGCTCTTAATCAGGACCTTGTCTTCCCTGGTCACCACCATGGATTCCACAAGCTATTGCTGACTCTGCTTCTTCACAGTCTGAGACTTTCCTTGCCTTTGCCGCCTGCACCTGCCCTAGGTGAGGTCATCCTTAATCATCCTTTACTATTCTTGATCTTATTCCTCAACAATTCAATGGAACACCTGTAATCATATGTCACTTCATTGCTTGAACCCCAGTGCCCATAAAGCCTTATTTATTCCTTTATTTGTTTGTTTATTTATTTATTTATTTATTGGCCTAGCTTTAAAAATTCTCCAGAATCATGGAGTTAGCTCTGTGGCATGGTAGGCTAGGCTTCCACTGTAAAGCCAGCATCCCATATGGGCACTAATTTGAGTCCTGGCTGCCCCACTTTCAAACTGGCTCCTTGCTTATGGCCTGTGAAAGCAGAAGACGATGGTTCAAATCCTTGGGCCCCTGAATCCACATGGAGACCCTAAGGAAGCTCCTGGCTCCTGACTTCAGATGGGCTCAATTCTAGCCATTACGGCCATTTGGTGAATGAAACAGTACAGAGAACACCGCTTTCTCTCTCTCTCTCTCTCTCTCTCTCTCTTTCTCCAATACAAAAAATAGATCTTTAAAAAAATAAAAAAGGACCCAGTATGATACCTTAGGGGCTAAATCCTCACCTTGCATGCACTGGAATCTCAGGCACTGGTTCTTAACCAGCTGCTCCACTCCCCTTCCAGCTCCCTGCTTGTGGCCTGAGAAAGCAGTATACTATGGCCCAAAGCTTTGGGACCATGCTCTGAATGTGGGAAACCTGGAAAAAGCTCCTGGCTCCTGATTAACTCAGCTCCGGCTGTTGCAGCCACTTGGGGAGTGAACCAGCAGACAGAAGATCTTTCTCTCTGTACATCTACCTTGCCAATAAAAATAAAATAAATCTTTAAAAATAAATAAATAAAATTCCTCCAAAATCTGACACTTGCCTCTCTGAGCAGGCTCCTCCACCCACACAAATGCCTGGAGTTTCCTGAATGGACTGCTCCCACATCTGTATCCACCTGGCACCTGCTATTTTCCTCGCCAAGATAGACAAGACAAGCTCCTCGCATCTTCATCTCTCTCCATTTCGCACCTCTCCTGACTTCCAACTGTTGCTTATCCTTTAATTGTCCATCCAGTGGTTACCTCATGTGGTGACCCTTAAGCAGGTAAGCATCCTGATTCTGCATATACAGGAATACTTCAGAATTTTCATAGGAAATGGAATTCAAAGGAGAGCTTAAAAATATTCAAAATCCATGTATGTGAGGGGGTTTTCAAAACCTTCATGAAAATGCATGTATGAAAAAACTGCATAAATTTTGGATTTTTTTGCTCATAAATAAACTTATCTTTTGATTCCATTTTCCCAAGAGCATTTGAAGTACCTTCACATTATCATAATAAAGCAGACATCTTTCCCCTTTCAATGTCTGATGTTCATCAATTCCCCTCACTTGATATATGCCCCTGAAGCACAAATGTTCGTCTCTCACTCTGATTCCCAGCAATCTCCACAAGAGTTAGACTCAGAGCAGGTGCTCAGAAAATGTTTGTCAAGTAGACAAAAAGCAAACAGCATTTGCTGGACAACCAAGCTCACTCAGATTTTATTTTGAGCAAGTTATTTGGCGTAGTTGAATTGTGTATTCCTTTCTGCTTAAAAAAACAGCTTATTTGTTTGTAGACTCTTCCCTTCATCATCTATCCTATTTGGAATCCAAACAAAACCTTTGGGACATGTTTTGTGAAAAAAAAAAAAAAAAGAAATTGTGTAAGCAGAGATTCAAACCTTCAGAAAGCTCCCACAGAACAGCCCTAAACCTAAGCATGTATGTGAATGAAGAAGTGAAGTGTGACTTAGCATTTTCCCTACGTCGTGCCAAATTGGCCAAACCTGTATACACTCCTCACCACATCCTATACTGAACCTGGTATCACTGGTACCTGGAACCACTCTGGGAGTGATCAAGTGACAGCTCTCCAGATAAAATCACTGATGTTTCCTTCTCAAGTGGACGATGGAAAAGAAACCGGGGAACAAATATAGGGCATTTCAAAACATTTGTGGAAAAATGGAGTTTAAAAACGAGTTTCTTTTCATGCAAAAATATTCTAAAGCCCATAACCAGGTTTTCATAATCCATATTTTCCAGGAACTTTATTAAGACCTCTCACACATGTTGCCATAAAAGAATGCTAACAGGAATGCAAGGCAAGAATCTAGAGCTGGATCAAAAGGAATGCTGCAGAGCACTGGAGTTTGTTAGCGATGTGTGTGAAGGGAGCACACGGCACAGTGATGTCACCACCCAGCCAGCGCAGGGATACAGCCCCCTCTTCGGGGTCAGTATTATGAATAAAATGCTTGCAGCAACATGAAACTTAAAGGCAGTGTGGTATAACTTATTGTCAGAGCTCTGATACTTGAGAAATATCTCTACAAGATAAAGTACCTGAAAGGCTGGGACACTGTTCTTGGGGGCCCTTTCACGTCATCTGACCTGCAGAGGACAAAAACAAACGTTCTCACATCACTAGCCTCACACACAGGAAAAGGCACATCTACGCATTAGACCAGTAAACATCTGAAATTTAGTAAAAGGAAAAAACATGCAAGTAGATGTTAGTAGTCATCTGCTGTATAAAATAAACCCTAAAAACAGCAAAAAATACATTTTAGTCATTTCATCTGAAAGCATTTTGCTTTATAAGAATACAGTAGTACTTCTTGAAAAAGAGTCTGATGGAATCATGATTCCTTATGCAGAACTAAACCATTGTAGTAAAATGGTGAGAATCTGTCAGGGGTGGGAGTTTGGGGGGGGGAATCTCAGTCTATACAAAATTGTACCCATAATTCAAAATTTCAAAATAAAAAAGTATATATACCAAAAAAAAAAAATACAGTAGTACTGTATCCACTCAGGGAAGACAATTCAAAATGAATGAAATTCATGCTGCTGTTAGGAAAACTAAATCCCAAGAAATTAGAAAACGTCTGAAATTTTTTTAAAAAACTTAATGTAACATGTTTTCTAAAATTTATGTAAATTAAATTTTCCCATTTCTTCTCCATACTTATTTGCCATGTTAAATTTCTCCGACTTATCCTTTGTTTCTCCCTCTGATTTCCTCAAATATAAATCTGTTTGACATGTATTTTAACCAGTGTAAGATAATTGAAGAGTTTGAAGAAAAAATGGCTAATAAAAAACTCTGCTACATAAACTAATCCAAAGAACCTTCCATACACTAAACAAGCCATAGTGCCTTCGCTCCAATTCAACAGAAAGTGCATTAACCTGTTAGACATTAAGCAAGCAACCCAAACTCGGGTCATGTGGCACATGTTCTGCATTGGCTCTGTTAACCATCTGTCACCCTATCACAGTTCCTGGCCCACAGCAGGTACTCAATAAAGGGTACCTCTCAATCTTTCAGCAGCAACTAACAACTATCACTAAGCACCATCCTGTCATCCATTCTCATGGTTCTACAGAAAATCATTATCTCCTAATGATCCTTTTGCTCTTACATCAGCAAACCAGGCACCAAGGACTCATCTAACTGAAGTGTTAGGATCCTCTTAGATAACACGTGGGAGCTCTCAGTTCACTGGGAATCTATTTAATGTTCATCATGTTGGCAAAGCATCCTTCCTGCTATCCTTGTCCTTTACCAATTAAGTCAAAGTAGTTACTGTGTATAGTAAGGTCTTGTTGCACTTTATATTGCAGTAAAGAATATTTGTATTTACAGATTTTTATAACTACAATGATCCTTAAAACTTTAAAGAAAAAAAAAACAGATATTTTCCAAACATTGTGGTCAGCAGTTAAGGTCCACTAACGATTCTGACGAATCATCTCAGACTTCAAAATCAAGGTGGTTTAAAACTTCATAGGTAGAAACAAGACACTTGTTTAACTCTCAGAATACCAGGTAAACTCAAGAATTAGGATATATCAAAGACTGATAAAATATTTTTCACCCCAAAAATCTCAGAACACCAAAGAGACTTTGCCACAAGACTAAAATTCCACCCACAAAAGTTCCAAACAAGATTTAGGATCAAGTCCCAGAGCTAACTGCCTAGCAGCAAAGGGTACAATTCCACAGACTGAAATGCCACAATTAACTTTCAACAAACTTCTAAAATGTTGCTATTCCAACAGTGATAGAAAAAAAAAAATAGTAAATAAACACCACAAAAACAGTAATGAACCAAAGATACATGCAGCAAACTTGGTATTTATAGAGTAACATTCAATGCTGAGAAGACAATATCTGTGCACAAATGGAAGCACACCACAAATTGAAACGCGTAAAATTGATGTACCTAAATGCACAGGACGGAGAAGAGCGTGGCTGTCTCTGACTTTTTAAGGCACGTAGTTTATCTCCCTGGGTTATATTATTTTTCATTTCCACATCTTCATCGTCTTCTAGATTATTCTGGGAGGGAAAAAACACATATTCCACAGGAAAATCATTAACAAACATTTTGTTTTATCTGAATTTCATAACAGAGAACAGATTGTGTATTATAGAAACATTTTACATGCCGTTTTTTAAGTCAGTTGAAGATAGGAATATTTCAGCCTTAACCAAATTTATACTAAGGAATGTTTGTCTATTTGCCCATCATACTCAAAGTTAGAAAAGCATGGGTATGGACACAAAAAAAATATAAAAGTAGCTGTATTTTACAAAGGACCATGAGCAAGGAGTCTCTGATGCAGACACAATGATAGTCTAGAATACAGCCTAGACACAGACTGGTTCCACAGACACACTACAGATAGGCTTCCAGACTCTACCAGAAGCCACAACTGCAAATTCTGGAACTTGTTTACAGACACAAGATAAAATAATTTAGCATATCTACACAGGAGCTCATTAACATTACTGATCCTCAGTCAAAGCACCTGAGAACCTTCTAGAAGCAGTCAAAGGCTTAGGGTCACTAGATAAGAAAACATGTTTCCTTTGAAGCAAGTATGGGAAATACAACCACTGTTTTGCTCTCACAACTACCCAGGGAGGAACATACTTGTTATCCTAAATTTAAAGATTGGAAAAAAAATAATCTTGGAAGTTATGATTATCTTTACTGCTCCCCAAACTTTAAATGTCAGGGCATCTTTAAATTGGATTCCTTGTGCCCAGATGCAGTGATCATTCCAAAATATAGGTCATCACACAGTGATACTGGCCCAGCAAGTTGCTATTTTCCTCACCTGAAAAATCGAAGGGCTTAAGTCACTGAATTCCATTCCAACCATAACAGTCCCTTCCTTTGTTAGAGCAAGAGCTTTTTAATTTTAATTTTTTAATTAGTTTTTAACAAATTCAGTATGATTTGTGGATACAATTCTAAGAACACAATAATATTCCCTTCCTCCTTCCCTTCCCCTCTAATCCTCCTACATACACTCCTTCTTTCCTTTCCTTTTTTAAATTTTTGAGATAACATATTATATTTACATTACAATAAAAAGGCTTAATATTTTAGTGAACAAGAAGTTTAACAAGTAAAAAGTAAAAAGACTCTGGTTTAGTGGGAATATGGACAATGGCTACTAGTAAGAACTTCTACTGGATGAAAAATACACAAAAAACCAGTCCTATTCTAGTTGTCCTGATAGAAACACCTCTTCACTCCCTGACCCTTATAGCTAAGTCTCAAAGAGGACAGGTAAAGCAGGCCAGTAACCCAAGATCATCATGGAACAAGATCCTTAGAGTCACAGAGATCTCCTAGAGTCACAAGTTGACCCTCTTAAAGGTCTCCAGGAATTGTTTTACCATTTAATTCCATCCAAACAACCCCAGTTAAGGAAGAAGCCCTCACCACCCTGGAAGCCTGCAGCAGTAGAAATCAGGTTTGCCAGTGAGATGATACACTTGAGACCATCAGCTTCCCCTCAGCCAACTGCAGCAAACACTGAACAGAGGGTGGCGGTGGCGGTACGAAATAGTTCTACCTGATAAAAGGATCAACACATAGCCAGGATTTGTAGACTCGGGAACAGAAGCAAGATGTACATAAGCTCTCTTAAGAAAGGCCAGGATTGCCCCTTGAGAACCTGATTGGATCCTTATTTATCCCAGTTTTATTGCCAACTCTGTGCTTCTGTGGACATCTGAAAGGAAACTTGTTTGTCCCTCCAACTTGGAGTTTCTTTGTGCTCACACCTCTGTGAGCCCTTCAAAATTTTAAGACAAAGTGATCTTCGGTCTGTAATTCTAAAATTAAATATCCCGTAAAATGTAAAGATAGAACAAAGATATTTATTTTTACTGGCCCCCAATGCAATCTTTCTAAGTAAATCACTGTAGCATATGCTTCAGGAAAAAAACAAAAGAAGAAAAACAGAGATCAAGGAAAACTAGGAACCAAACTGAAGAGATTGCAAGACACGTCTGATATAAATTCCTCTGAAATTCCTCCTATGCTGTGCATAAATCACCTAGATATTTCTGCCTTATAAAAAGAATATTATAATACATGATGATTTGTCCCATTTTTTTTCACTTAAAAATATTCTATGAAAGTGTTTCTGAACAAATAACAAAGATCTCTACAGTATCATTTTAGTCATTCATAAAATTCCATCAGCTAGCTACGTCAAAGTTGATATGCTAGGTCTGGCTATTCTCTCTTCCATGACTACCAACAATCCCAGGACACATCCTCTCACACACCATGATGTTTAAGAACTGTCCTATTATCTCCCCCAAGACAGATCCATGGAAATGGAATTTCTTAAATTCAAAGTATTCTTCTATACATCTAACTAGCAGCATTTAAGAGCCTTAAAGTCCCCAATCCCAATACTGCATGCATGTCCTTAACACATTTGATAGACAACAATAACATCTCATCATTTAAACTTCGGTTCTTCAATTTTTAGGCACATAGAACTCTTTTTATGTTTACGAGAGGGTTCTATATTATTTAATTTGTATACGTAGCATTTTCACATTGATTTGCAATAAGATCTTCATACATTTAAAACTGCGTTTACATATGTTAGAAATATTTCCTCCCACTTGATCCCTGTGAGGCGGATTATTTCAAGATCGAGAGTGGGAGTAGATGTTACAGGTGTTACAGCTACTGCACTGGTCTGATGAGAGATTGGATTCCAGAGTCAAGTTTGGCGTAAGTGAAAAGAAGGGGAAAAGCACAGGCATGCAAACTGAAATACCAATCATGTTTTTTTGTTTTTTTTTTTTAATCTCGACAGATCTCTTTTTTTTGTTTCTGTGACTACGGTATAATCTTTGCAATATTTTTATGACTAACAGGTAAAGAACCTATAAACTACAAAATTCTAACTAATATTGATTTAAATTATTTATTCATTCAGTTAGTCATTTATTCATTTATTTGAAAGACTAAGTTACAGAGAGGGGGGATGCAAAAGTAGAATGACAGGTCTTCCATTGCTGATTCACTCCTCAAATGACCACAGCAGCCTGGAGGTGGGGATTCATCCAGGTCTCCATCCAGGTCTCTCACACAGAAACAGGGGTCCAGGCACTTGAGCCATTTTCCACTGATTTCCCGGGCACCTTGGCAGGAAGCTGGATCAGCAGTGGAACAGTCAGGACTTGAACTGGCATCCATATGGGATGTCAGCACTACAGGTGGCTGCTAACTCACCACACCATAGCACCAGACTCTAAACTAAATTTCTTTAAGTGAAAAGGAAACAAATACTTTCTCACACAATTGAAGATTCTTACTAAGATTATTAACTGCTTATGTGAAATCAAAATATGTTTGGCATTGTTCCATTCATAATTTCATTTAATATTATTATGATCCTTTGTAAGTACAAATGTGTTAGAAACTTAGGATTTTGTATCAGACATACCTAATTTCAAACACTGATGTTTTCATTTTAATGCATGTCCTAAGGGAAAATTTCTAACAGTAATAATCTTTAGTTGAAATGTATAACCAATGGTAATGTCTGTATCACAGGCTCATTGTTGTGAAGATACAATAAGATAGTACACGGCAAAAATCAGTGTGTTCAATACATACTAGCTAATACGGAAAATAATACGCTTAAACTTCGTGGTAAAAAGATCAGCTACTGCTTGTTATTCAAAATATATTTATATTTAAATTTAAATTACAAAATTAATTAAAGGATACATGAAAAAGGACTCTGAACTCTTGGAACACTGAATAAGATGTAGACATTAACAGAACCAAATATTATATTGAATAGGTGACTGATTCTGTAACATTTACCAGTTCACAAGCACTGGGTAGAACAGAAGGAGCTTATTAGAAAATGCAGTTCCCCATAATATGAGGTATAAATTGATCTCACGACTTGGCAAACTAGGGCAGTTGGCAGATTTTTCCGTCAGAGACTGTTACTCCTCTTTTATTGAAAAGGCAGATTTAAAGAGAGAAAGACAGAGAAAAAGATCTTCCATCTGCTTGTTCACTCCCCAAATGGCCGCAATAACCAGAGATGGGCTAATCCAAAGCCAGGAACCAGGAGCCTCCTTCGGGTCTCCCACACGGGTACAGATTCCCAAGGCACTGGGCTGTCCTCCACTGCTTTCCCAGGGCATAAACAGGGAGCTGGGTGGGAACTAGAGCAGCCAGGACACAAACCAGTGCCCATATGAGATCCCAACAATTGAAAGGGGAGGATTAACCAATGGAGCCATTGTGCCAGGCCCCATTAGGCCTCCTTTATACCAAATTCATTCCTGGCCATGACAAATGAATACACTCACCAATAGCAACATAGAGAACCCAAACCTTGTTCTCCCTTCTCTCAAGGTACAACCTGTCACCCTGAGGACTTACAGCACAGATGTGCTTGTCCTGAGCTAGCCAGGCACAGGCAGAGCCCCTCACCCCTAAATCTATAGAAAAGAAACTAAACTACATGACTGTTGCCGAAATGTGATGAGGAAGCTGAGGCAAGGGAAGAGCCTCAATTCTCTATTCCTGCAAAGGGAACAAGGAAGTTTCTTGCTTCAGCAATTGTCTTTCAGAGGTCTTGCCATCACTGTTTTTTCTTTTGGATATCAGATGATCTTGTATAAATGGAGAAAAGTGACAGAAAACTAAAATACCTAAAGAAGTACAATCTAAAGATGCACTTTTTCACTTAAAGAATAACCTACAGACATATTTTATTCCACCAGCAGTTCTATCTGTATAGAAATGATGAACAAAATTTTAAAAATTAAATTGTACCCATAGATTTCATTTGGGTAAAGTAATTACTAACCAACACATCAAGAAAATGGTGGCAGAGTAAGCTATTGGGGAGGCTATGGAATGGACTGTTCAGAAATGATCTATCAGAAGAAAATATGGCACTTGAGGGAGTAAAGATGGAAGGGAGGTAATGGGAAAAGATATAAATAGAGAGTTTGGAATAGAAATGAGTAAAAATAGCAGTGAAAGGGTTGGAGGATAGAGATAATGGAATTTTTAGCAGACTTGAAGTCATTTGGCTAGAAAAGGCAACAGGATCACCTCTCCGGTTCTTCTTGGCTCTCAGATGTTGAACCTGTATGATGTCAAGGCAGGGAGAAGACAAGGATACTTTCTTTATAGTTACTCATTTCTGACCAATAAAGTTCTAGATTTTTGATCAATAAATGTTTAGATTTAGCAGAGTCCTCCAAATTTGCCTTCCCTCCCTCCCCACTGCCTCTGGTCTTCCATCCCTGCCCACGTGGAATCTATTTAATCATAACTCCATACTGCAGCCAGAGTGATCTCAGCAAGTACTTACAGTGGACTCTATACTTCACAATAGCTCAAAGATGTGCTCAAAAACACTACATCCTTGCTTACCTGACTGCCAATTTATGGTTGACCACTAGTAGCCCTTTATTTAATTCATATCTCTTAAATCAAAAGCATCTATAGATCCGTGTGCTAGTACTGATCTATAGCCCTAGAATTAGAAAGGGAAGGTAAAAATATTGTAATTGTGGGAGAAATATTTCAGGAGAGGGTAGTTAAGGTTTTGTTCATAATTGCCGTATGTGATATTCTAAAGCCACCCTGAAGACTTTGTGGAGAAGCTCGTGTGCTGCAAGAGGCCTCATGGGAGAGTGGCCGAAGCTGGAGCTACAGCATCCGGCTTCAAGTGACAGTTGTGCCATGTGCTATGTGGTCTTGGCTAAAGGGATTGACTTTCCCTACCATAGCTATATGTTAAGAACACATGCCCTGTAACAACGGCAATTTGCTACAGTTTTTGTAAGGATTATAAGGATGTAAAGGAGTTAGAACCATTTCTGGTACATGCTATTTGAGTTGTTCCCACAATGGCTCCTCATTTAACTCAAACATTTGCACTTTAAATAAAGTACTCTACATTCCATCTCCTAAAGCAATTTTTAAATAACTCACATCCTTGATGGACATTAAGCCCCCGAATGTCAAAACGAATACTTATTGATAAGACCAGTTTATATTTCAGTACCAAGTGTCATTACTAAGGTTAGATCATCACCAATTTCACGTCTCTGTTTATCTTTTTTTTTTGTGAAGCTGTAAGCGTTATTCACTCATTCATGTAGTATTCATTAAGATCCTGTGGACCAGGAATATGAGGATACTTCGAAAAGCTCATGAAAAATGGAACTAACAGAGTGAGTTAAAAAAAAAAATGTGGAAAATTTCTGTAGACTTAGAAACCAAAAAAATAGCCTACTTTAAATCTTTTATTTTAAAAAAAAATAATAAAAATAAGGCAATCTCTAGAGTAGCATTGCAGTGTCCTACATATCAGAGTGCTGGTGACTCTGTTTCCAACCTAGCTTCCTACTAATGTTCCAGGGAAAATAGCAGGAGATAACCCAAGTGCTTAAGCCAAATACTTAAGCCACACATGGAGACCTTGATGGAATTGCTGGTTCCTGGCTTTATCTGCTCCCTAGCCCTAGTCATTGAGGTCATTTTGGAAGTAAATAAATACAAGTGCATTCGGTCTCTCCCCTACCTGGCCCTCTCTCTCCCTTTCTCTCTCTTTTTCATTCTGCCTTTCAGATAAGCAAATAAATTTTTTAAAAATACAATCGTACTGTACTCTTTACCCTTCCAGCGATACGTGTTAATTACTTTTAAATTCAACAAATTGGTGCCTAAAAAGAGCATGAGAATGAAGTGTCCCAGCTACAAGACATTAATTTCATATAAATTATGTTATAGAAAGCACTATGTTCCCACAATGTAAACATGTCTCTCAGAAAGAGTGATACATTTTGTGCTTGCTTTTCAAAATTCATAACTTAAAGCTCTGTTTACTGGAACTCAATCTGGGACAGAAATGCTAACTAAGCAAGGAAGAGTCCTTCCTTAGCTATCACATCACCTTCAAGTGAGTTCAGATCCTTTATTGTTTGCTTTTAATGGGCCAAGCTACAACACAGAGACAAGAAAAAGTCAACAAAAGGCTTTGAACATTGGCATGACCTTGGCTTGGCTAAGATTTACATTTAATCAGGACAAATGAGTCACACTAGAAAACCATTTCATCTGTGGTTGTCCTAGGGAACATGAAAACACAGTTCCCTCGGTGGTCTCCATTCTTTATCCTTGAAGAAAACTCAAGCCCCCTGATTTCTAAGCGCTCTAACTAAAATAAACATGTTCGGTATCTTTAGTTAAGGCTATCACTGACCTAACAGAACTGGGGTGTTCTTCCCAGTCTGAGTTTCTTGAGGGGCAAATCTTGAGTCACAGTAGTATGCTTCAGATCCCTGCCCAAGTGTGACAGAACACTGAAACACTGCTCACCCATACGTGTGGTTCACATATTTTAGCAGGTATCTTTATTCCTCTAGGGAACTGATTTTACACAGATACATACACACACTCAAACACATCATATATATAATGTATATATTATATAATATATAGAACAAACCAAGTAGAATTCAGGTACTTAGCTCCACCTTACGTGTCATACTACAGAAGGAGAATCATTTGGAGTTGGATGCAAACGTCGTCTTGATCTGCCACATGAGACCCAGGGACCTGATGACTTGGACTGTCCTCCAGTGCTTCCCCAGGCCATCAGCAGGGAGTTGGATTAGAAGAAGAACCTCAGAAGTGGAGCGGCTGGGACTCAAACTGGCACTCATGTGCTATGGGTGGCAGTTTAATCAGCCACACAAAAGCACCAGCCCAGATGCCCACGTCTCATAATGGCTCCTACTACAAAACTCTACTTGACGTTGGGGAAAATATTCTGAGATCTCATTTTCTTATTGACATAGGAAGGAAACTAAAAGCAAATGACTTCAAGTTTGCTTCTAGTTCCAAAAATGCTCATGATCCTAATTCTTTTTTCTTTTTTCTTTTTAATTTGTTTTTATTGGAAAATCAGATACACAGAGAAGTAGTTCTTCCATCTGTCAATTCACTCCCCAAGTGGCCGCAAGAGCGGGCACAGGGTCCCAGGCTTTGGGCTGTCCTTGACTGTCTTCCCAGGCCACAAGTAGGAAGCTGGATGGGAAGCCCTTTTATGAACTGGCGCCCCATGGGATCCCAGCACAAGCAAGGCAAGGACTTTAGCCACTAGGCTACTATGCCAGGCCCCATGATCCTAATTCTTAATAAGTTACCTCTATTGCTAATTCAACATACCAGGGTATAAGAGAAGAAGCGTCAATTTGGCACAGCAGTTAAGACAATGTTTGGGATGACAATATCTCATATCAAAGTGCTTGGGTTCAAATTCCAGCTCTGCTCTTGGCTCAATTCCTGCAAATGAGCCCCTAGGAGATAGCTGATGATGGCTGAAGTATTTGGCTCTCTGCTACGCATGTGGAGAACTACATTGGCTCCTGGCTCTTGTCTTCTACCTGATCCAGCCGCAGAAAGCCCAGAGGAAGATCCTCTGCCTGTTGATTCACTCCCCAGGTGGCCACAACAGCTGGAGCTAAGATGATCCGAAGCCAGGAGCCATGAGCTTCTTCCTGGTTTCCCACATGGGAGAAGGGTCCCAAGTCTTTGGGCTGTCCTCAACTGCTTTCCCAGGCCATAAGCAGGGAGCTGAATGAGAAGCGGGGCCTCCAAGATTAGAACTGGTGCCCCACGGGATTCCAGTGCGTGTGGTGAGGACTTTATCCCACTAGGCTATCTCAATGGACCCATAAATGGATTTTTACAAAAGTTATCTATCTACCCATCCATCTGTCTATTTAACTATCATTAACTCTTTCAAATAAATCCTATAAATAAAATGTATAAGAAAAAAAATGTAACTTTGAAATCAAACATATGTATTAAACATGCTGTAATATACTAAGGCTAAAATATCTATGATATGTTTTTACCATAAAATAGAGATACTATTACCTTACCCATCAGGTGGATATGCAGACGAAGCTAGATAACATAAAAACAACTATTTGAAGTGATACACTTATAGCAGAATCTCAATTTTTAAAAAAGTTACCCCAATTCTGTTTTCAACTCTGTAAGTACTTCAGAAATCAGCATAAACTTGAAGTTTTCAGAGCATCATTTGTTACACATACTTCTTCAACTGCCAATTTAAATCTTTTCTTCTTGATATATATTTCAGTTAGCAAGTAGAAAATGTGCTTTTCTATTTTCTTTCTGTAAATATTCCCCATACCAGAATAGTCTCTGTACAGATAATTGTACTCCTTAAATTACAGATTCTTTCCTTTTTAGGATAATTGGTTTCTTTGCTCCGCTTCAGGTATTATAGACACATGACAACACACCTGAAACTCCGTTACTCCTGGCATCTCAGAGAAAAGATATAGCTGTGTGATACAAACACAGCTGAGTGATGAGTTCATGCTATTAGTTGAAGGAGATAAACTCTCTGGGGAAAACTCACCTCTCCAAACCTTTCCATGTTTTGTATTTTAGATAAGTTTCCACCAATAGACATATCATCCAAGCTAGACAGAATTTTATTAATACTTCCTTCACTGGATGGTCTATTTTTCAGTTTGGATCGGAAAATGTCTCCTTGGACCCACAATGATGCTTGTTTTCTGTAAAAATAGAGAGAAAATCAACTCTAAAATAATGTACTATCATCTTAAAATATAATGGGTAAATTGAAGATTAACAGATAAACATTCATAAATCACACTAGAACAATTATGAAATCTCACAGTAAAAATAAGTCACTTTTAAACACTAAAGTAAATCAAAATTTCATATAAACACAAATACCCACCCTCATCTATTTGTCTATGTAGTCATTCATGGGTTAACTATTGAGATTCTCAAATGTTTAGAATGTATCCAACAGCGACTAAAAACGTAAGATCATGTGTTGTGTAAATATGAATGACATCTATAAGCTATTTCTCATATAGAAATTTTTATGCCTGTTTATAAATATAGGTGGAACGAGTTGGACTTGAAAATGTATGTGAAAGAACCAGAGCTAAACAGAGACATTGCCAAAAAAGTCATCCTACCAAAATACACACTGTACACAAAATACAAAAATGTTTGATCCAGCAATATTTGCAATAGCAAAATATTAGAGACATCTTAATGGAAATCCAAATGATTAAATTACAGTAGATCCCTTTAATGAAATAGCATATGGCTGCTAGAAAGACAGTGACAGACACACATACGGCAACAGGGAAGAGTAACTACAAAATAAGGCCTCTTTAGGAAGTAGGTTGTTGGGCTTCTCTGAAGTAGAACATAGGAGAGAAAGAGGCAGAAACTGGTTTGTTAAGATCCCTGCATGCCAGGCTTAGGAACCTATATCTAACCCCAATATAAAAGTAAGACCCCATAAGCATAACTACGAATAATAATAATAACAACCTTTTCAAAACGAAGTGAACATAGGCAGAGAAAAGGGAACTAAAAGGCTAAATGGAAAAAATGTCAATCCAAAATGAGTTACAAAATGAAAGTGGAAGGTTCTACCAACTTAAAGATGAAACACACAGAAACAACCTTCACCTGCTCAATTGAAATGGATCTGTCCCTTCCCTGGAAAGACTGGGTTTGAGCCTGAATATTAACGATGAATAAGGTGTCAGAGCCGATGTCTACGTTGCTAAGTGATGCCATACGCAAGTGTTTTTGAGAGAAGCAGCACTTCACGCAAACACTTCTTTATTGAGAATGAAAACTCCAAGAGCTTTTATCATGGTGTCTGTTATGCCTTAAAAGTCTCATCTCAAACAAAAGAAGTAAAACATGTATTTGTAAGTATTTAACATTTAAAAATTTAATCTTTTGAAGCTACAATAGCTCAAAGTGAAACTGCAATCATGTAGCACATTTTCTAAGAAACCATGAAATGTCTGGCCTTCTGCTGATAGGACAGGTGCTTCCAAAAGAAAGATGTTTCCTGATTTCAACAGATTTGTAGAGGACAGTAGGCAGGGTTAGGGTCATTCTTTCCAGCAACATGCTAGCCCTGAGTTATTCAGGTTTCAGCTAACCAGTCCTGAAGCCTAAGAAAACAATTAAAATAACTGGGTTTTATTTATTGTGAGCTAAGTTAAGATCTGATTCTAATATAAAGTCTTCACAGGTATTTGTTAATATATTTTTAATATTCCAGTAATCAATTGCAGTGTTACAATTATGTGTAGGTTTTGAATCCAAAACACAACAGAAATTACCTTGCTATTGATTCTGTTTGCGGCTGACCTGTTCTTCACCTCCTTAAACCCACCCTAACCCTATCTTTACACCATCCTAATTGTTCATCTTCATCATTCCCTTTATTCTAGGAACAATTTTTTTTTTTCTGAGAGAACACAATCCTGACCTAATACCCATCCAATGCCACTATCTGGTCACTTGACATAGAACTCAAACTGACTTTCTGGCTTAGCCTGTGTCTTCCGCGGCTACCACTTGAATACCAATCTGTTATGTGTACTTCCCTCCTACTCTAATATCCCAAACATTATTATGTAAACAGACTGGGGAGAAGTTGGCATTGTGGCACAGAGTTAAGCTACCACTTGTAAAACCAGCATCCCATATCCACATGCCAGTTCAAGTCCTTGCTACTCTGTGCTTCTGATATAGCTCTCTGCTATTGCATCCGAGGAAGCAGCAGAAGGAGGCTAAGTGCCTGGGGCCTGTAACCCATGCAGGATTTGATGCATTACATCAAACTTAGAAGCTTCTGTAGAGCAAAGGAAACAATCAAGAAAGACATCTGATAAGATGGAAGAAATATTTGCAAGCTAGTTAAAAGCCAGAATTATGAGCAACTCAAAACATCAAATTCAGTTAATATAAAAAGGCAAAGGATTTAAATAGACAGCTCTCAAAAGAAGAAACACAATGGCCAAAAAAATTCACTATCACTAGGCATCTGAGAGACGTTAAATCAAAGCCACAATACCATCTGAGATACCATCTGACCTGTTATCAATGTGGTATGTGTCAACGAGGCAATATCTTGCTGTCATAAAAATTATTAATGGAAGTAGAGGACATGATGTGAAGTGAAAAAGGCCAGACACAGAATGGCAAACTGAAATGAAAAGGAAAGAGAATCAAGATGACGGAATAGGGTAAGGACACGTTTAAACGGATGGAAATAAAAAGGAAAAAAACCCTCAGTCTGAAGACTGCACAATGATTCCCAGAGACCAGAAAGAGTGGGGAGGGTAGAGGGAGTTGGGTAATGGGCACCAAATCGGAGTTCCACGAAAGGAATAAGGCTGAGTTGAAACAGCCAAGAGGGAGGCTATGGTTCACAGCACCCTGGTACACATTGCATGAATAAGCAGAAAAAGAAATGCCAAGCCTCCATTCATGAAGCAATGACAGATGAGGACATGTTGATTTCCAGGTTTTGCCCAGAACACAAGGTTTACATGTACTAGAATGTCACACTTTAGCTCATAAATATGTGCAATTCTTATTAACTTAAAAGGTACATTGAATGGGATCTGGGACATACTGGACCAGTCTGCTGAACATACTGGCAAGCAGGAACCAGGGTGGGGGTGGGCCTGGTGGTGGGTTTTGAGGGTCACTCTGACTAAGCTGCAGTTCCCACTGGTGTGAGGGCCCAGTGTATATTGGGATGGGCTGGGCTGGGCCACAGCATCCATTGGTTTGCATAGGAAATCAGGCTGGAGACAGCACTGACCCAGCAATTGCAACTAACAGTCTATTCCTAGGCTGATATGGGTGACAGACTGAGCCAGACCCCATACTGCCAAGCACTAGGATCACTTCACTTCAGATCAGCATAGGCACTGAGGCAGTTGGGAGGCTGGATGCAGCTTCTCCCCTTATCTTTTCCCCTTCCCCCAGATACAGAAGGAAGAAAAAGAAAATGTGAAAACAATTATTTCACCCATTTTCTCCTAACCCTTTATCATTCCCACCCCATCCATTATGTAAACATCCTAAAAAAAAAAAAAATGTAAGGAGGCCTGGGACAGTGGCTCAACTGGTTAATCCTCTTCCTTCAAACACTGGGATCCCATATGGGTGCTGTTTTGAGCCCTGGCTGCTTCACTTCCCATCCAGCTCCCTATTTGTGGACTGGGAAAGCAGCAAATGGCCTAAAGCCTTGGGATCCTGCAACCATGTGGAAAAGAAGGGAAGGGGGTTGGAGCAAAGGAAGAAAAATGAAGAGAGAAAGCAGCTTAACCCACTCACCACAATGCCTTCCCTAGCTGGAGGTTTCAATCTCAACTGAGAGTCAGTAAGTAAATATTGAAAAGAAAAAGTCAGAAACTTTTGGAAGTTCTGGAAATGTTAGTGCACAAGTGTCACTTGTAAAATCTCTACCAATATGCCTGTAATTCCCACAAATCACAGCATTTTCTTTGTTAAATTCTGGTTTGTATACATTTAACATTTTAATTTTTGTATTTTGGAGAAGGTAAAAGCTTAAACACTTAAAATAACTTGTATATTGGGCCCGGCGCAGTGGCGCAAGTGGTTAAACACGTCCAGGATCCCATATGGGCGCCGGTTCTAATCCCGGCAGCCCCGCTTCCCTTCCAGCTCCCTGCCTGTGGCCTGGGAAAGCAGTCGAGGGCAGCCCAAAGCTTTGGGACCCTGCACCCGCCTGGGAGACCCGGAAGAGGCTCCTGGCTTCGGATCGGCATAGTATCGGCCCGTTGCGCTCACTTGGGGAGTGAATCATCGGACGGAAGATCTTCCTCTCTGTCTCTCCTCTCTGTATATTCACCTTTCCAATGAAAAAATAATAAAAATAAATCTTTAAAAAAAAATAACTTGTATAACTGTTAATTCTGGGCCTGGCACAATAGCTTAGCAGCTAAAGTCCTCACCTCGCACGCCTGGGATCCCATATGGGCACCAGTTCATGTCCCATCTAGTCCACTTCCCATCCAGCTCCCTGGTTGTGGCTTGGGAAAGTAGTCGAGGACAGCCCAAAGCCTTGGGACCCTGCACCCATGTGGGAGACCCCGAAGAGGCTCCAGGCTCCTGGCTTCCGATTGGCTAAGCTCCAGCCATTGTGACCTCTTGGGGAGTGAATCATCGGAGAGAACATCTTCTTCTCTGTCTCTCCTGTCTGTATCTATCTGACTTTGCAATAAAAACAAATAAATCCTTGAAAATGTTAATTCTTCTATCTTGATTTATGATATATCTAATAATCATTTGGAGTCAATCTCAACTAAAACTGACAGTATCAGATCCCAAAAGAAACTGTGTTCTGAGAACTTTTGAGGCATTTTTCTACTTCCTAGATGGATTTTCCTCATCACGTTTTTGGTAGTTTCCTGAAATAAAATGGATCAGTTAAATAAAATGGTTGAATTATTGATTTCTGACGTAGCGCAATCGAACCATGAAATTTACCAAACGTTCTAAGCGCCAAACTGAGATGCAGCATAAATCAATAGAATGTGGGTCAGCGGAACTGACACTCTGAAATTTGATTATCATTTATAGCCCTATCTATACATGGTGCTTTATCTATTAACTTGCCAAATTATTTTATTTAACAGGTGAGGGTTAGGCTCTCAATTACAAAGTAAATTAGAATTTTAAAAATTTTTAA